AATGAACAGGCGGGAGAGGCTAACGAACCGGAGGAGGAGGAGGAGACGTGGGATCCGGCCGTCGAGGTCGCCCTGACCCCCCCCTTTGGCTTGGCGGGCCTGCCAGGGGACGCGGCCAGAGCCTCGCCTCCCGGGGTGGACCTCAGCCCTTTGGGAGGGAAGGGCGGCAGTCAGCCTGTGAGCCTCACGCAGGAGGCGGCCTACCTAGCCGATGAGGCGCACGGGCGCGCGCGGCAGCTCAAGCGATCGGTGGTGGTGGAGTCAAACCGCAGAGATGATGGGGGCGGCCCCCTCAGTGGCAGTGGGCTCTCACAGATTCCCGCATCACAGGCAACTCGACAGAAGATGGCATCCTGGATCGCCCAGACGCGGAGCTTTTTCCGTTTTATCGATGAAAGGACCTTGGTGTGTGTTTCGGATACTGAGCAACTACCTATCCATTAACATGTTAAGGCATCTTCAATTAATGATGCACCAATGAGAGGGAGTGGTGCAGGTGCTGTTACTTCAAGTAGAGGGCCATCGTAGTCCGTCCATTGTCTCAGGTGGTAATCGAGAAGCTTCTTTTACTGCTCAAGGTATGTCTCGAAATTTTTTCGAACTTAAAAGGTACAAAAAATAAACGGAAAATAAGGTAAGTTGTAGGCACACGCGGTGAGGACCGTATCGTGTAGTCGGCACACACACGCACCCCTGGGATATGCACATGTGTGAACTCCGAAGGATTACTATGTTCGTTCCTACCAGGGGTCCGAAGAAAACGCATGCAACACGAAACAGGTCGCACTTCATTTAATCATTACTTTTGCATTCTATGTATCGATATGCAAATAGACATTCATCGACCTGAATACATCCATATTATGTTACCATCTCAGAAACGGACAGAATTTGGTTGTTTCGTTTTTGCTTCTCACAACCCGTATGATTCTTGGAATATCTGATGTGGCTAAATTATAGCCATGTTTATTACATGAGCGGATGTGTTTGGTTTACTGCGTAGTTGATGACAAATGCCCTCAAGAGAAGGTGGAAATGCTTTATTTCTTTCGTTTTTTCTAGACATTTTTCTCGCATTAGAGATTTCATGTAGGTGATGGGATATGTGTACTACCTACGATTAATTCTCGCAAAAAAGCCTTAACTAGTTTAATCGAGACGGTAGAGGAATCTCAGGTTTTTGTTTAAATTTTTCTTACTATATTCATATTTATATTATTATACTATGATCTTTTATGCAGTCTCCCCTTTCCCTCTCTCCCACTTTTCCTGTGATGTCATTACAGGTAGAACATTAACTAACCTTCTTCAAGCTCAAGTCATTCAAAGAAAACGAATACAGATTTAAACAAAGGATCTCAAGGAGTAATTCTATTGTTTTTCCTGCCTTAAATATACTCATAGAATAGTATATTCTATTTTTTATTGCGTGAAGTATTGTGTCTCTCTTAAACTGTAAAAGTGACGACTGGAGCTGGAAGTCCCACACAGAAGGTACCTAGCGAACCCATATGCAAACGTTTCCCAATATGAGGCTCAGGGTGTTGTTGCTTTCCACCCTACTTGCCGCATTTCTCCTGAGTTCTCCTGTGGTCCTAGGCTATGAAGCTGTGGATGGATATGTGACGATAGAGACCAATAAAGTAAAGCACTCACCCCACGGTGACTCATATGACTATCTCAAGATGTTGTCAGAGTCTGACCTCAAGAAACTTATTTTCGATAAATCCAAAGGTCAAGTGCATTTCACAAACAACGAAACTAAGGAACACCTCATTGCAGTTGTCAAAGCGATTGAAACAAGGGAGCAGAGCGAGGATGATTTTCAGCATCGTGTTGCAGCAGCCATGGAAAAACGAAATGCAGTTATTGGTGCCTTGCGGAATGGGAATACTCATCCGACAAAGGTTCAATTAACCATGCTGAACACTGATAAAACGAAAGAAGTCAATGGACATGAAAAGGACGACGAAGCTGCCAATGCAAAGTCGCACACTCAGAGTAGCTTGCCACACAAAGTTGTTATACAGTACTGCATAGGTTGCGGTTATGCAAAGCATTTTGAGAGTATTAAAAAATACTTAGAAGCGAATCTTCCCAATATCCAGGATGTGCGTATTCTAGGATTCAATTACCCCATTCCTTTCTTTCGCTTGCTTGTTGGCAGATTATGTACATTTATGTTTTTCATATCCTTTGCGATCGGTGCTGTCGGCCAACACTTAAGAAGCTTGCTACCGGTGCGAGTGCATGAATACATTGTACAGAAACGAGCTTTTGTCATTGGGTTCGGCATCATGCTAAATCTGTTAGGTAATTCCCTAATGCAGAGTGGAGCCTTTGAGGTGTACATAAATGACGAGCTAGTATACTCCAAATTATTGGAAGGAAAAGCTCCATCGTCGCAAGACGTCTACAAGTTGACCCTCGAAAAAACGCTACTGAGGGACTACTCTTAAAGAAATTGAGGAATCACTTAAAAGGAAAAAAGAAACATCCTCTACATTGAGTGTGCTTTGGGGATGATAAACTAGACGTGGGAAAAAAGACAAAGGTATATTTAATTACTATCGAAAAGGTATTTCAACAAATGGGGGAATTTTCTCCTTGTTTTATCACTAAGTACTTCCTAAATAACATGTCTAGACAATAACGGTGAAAAGCTAGGTGATGAACTATGAATGTGGTGGCACGATACTCATGTTTCTTAAACCCATTGTCTATGTTCTCAGCTTAATGTTGTTGTTTCTCAATATCACTAACGTTTCAGAATGAATAATTCACCTGCACAGGTAGAGTCGTCCCGGTATTTACAGTGAATGATAAAGGGTAAAGTATGTTACCTCCCCCTTCCCCTCTCTCAAGAATAGAAAATAGCCAGATATACGCGTATTTATACATCAAAAGTAGTTTGGATCTATATTAAACAGAATATCACATCAGTCGGTTGACATATTTTGTATTCATTAATTCTTTTTCTATTGTACAAAAAGTCTCCCATTTCAACCCCAATACTATCAAAAAGAGTGTCTTCGAAAGGTTAGTGGGAAGAAAGAATGTAGAAGTTAAGATAAAGGGTAATAAGGTAATAAGGTTAGGTGTTCATTATCTAGTGGGAAAAAAACAATGCCTAAGTGGCTGAAAAGAGTCTAAGAGTTGAAGAAAATTCTACAGAGTATTCACACATTTTCTACATTGAATGATAATAATAATGTGAAGTACAAATAGAAATGTAAATAGGTCTTAAAAACAACAAGACTAGTGTCAGAGTCTACACAACCTAATCACAGTTCACAAACATACTAACTCCTAATACACACAAACATACGACTTCAAATAAAAAATATACAAAAGGCTCTTTAAATTTTCATTAACAGGCAGTAGC